TAGGCAATTCGGGTAGGTAAAAAAAGTGTGTATTCCTTCAGTCAGAAATGGCTTGGCAAACAACTGAAGGAAAAAATTTCATTCACAATTAAAGTCAGACACTACCAGCTTAATCAACACCAACAGCAACATGAAGAAACCACAGTCTTTTGCAGGCCACTCTTTAGCCTCAGCTTTTTAATACTTGCTAAACCTAAAGGCCCATGAACCTCATGTATTTTATTGTCTTCTAGGGGCAGTGAAGCAAGGGAAAGATGTTTATATCTGTATCACCCAATAAAGCAAAGGAAATAAATCCTGTTTCTTCTCTCTCCAGTGGATACAATGAATATCCCGCTGTGTCAAGAACATTTGCATGTAATTAGCTCAATATCACCTTGATTCCAGCAGTGTTCATACTTCATTTATTCTTTCTATGCAATTGACTGTCCCAAATTTTTTAATTTGATCCCAGCTAGGAAGAGGGGTGGGGGCTGCACAACCTAATGAAACAGCTGTCCTATATAGTACCAATCCAGCAGTGTCCTCTATGCATACTTGTATTAGTGTCAGCAAATCTGTGTTACTATGAAATGAGAGGGAGGAATACATTATCTCCCTAGGCAATAGGAATATCCCCTGATTTTGCCAAACAGAGCTTTGGGGAAATTATAGGCTGAGCCATGTATTGGTATGAAAGGTCAGAGAGTTAAGGGCTTCTTCTTACAGGGGAGCCTCTGACTGCCAGGAATAGAATATTTCCTGAAAATAACAGTTTCTGAGCCTCCTGCTGGGATTCACCCTGGTTGCTGCTGCCACAAGGCTTGATTTGTGCTGTCAAGAGGATGGAGCAGGATCCAGTGCCACAAAAGAGAGCCCAGATTGAATCCTGTTTGAATACAGGTCCCATTTCAGAGCTTGGGTGTCGCACTTCGCTCACCAGCTAATGTAAAAACATTTGGGGACAAAGTCTGATCTTCATTATGTAACCACAATCCTGGAACAGCTCCAGCTCCACTAACTTAACACAGATTTACATTGATAGACGTGAGTCCAGACTATTCTCTTTTGTTCTGTTGCCCCTGTCAACTGAGCGTCTCTATGCAGTGTGATGAGGTAATAAGCAAGGCTAACCGCACTCTTTCTTGCATCAGCAGGAGTATCACAAGCAAGTCTAGGGAAGTGATAATTCCCCTCTGTGTGGCATTGGTGAGGCCACAGATGGGAGTACTGCATACAGTTTTGGAAGCCACACTTCAAGAGGGATGTGGATAACCTTGAGAGGGTTCAGAGGAGGGCTACTTGTATGGCTGATGGCCTGCAGGTAAGACCGTATGAAGACAGACTGAGGGATCTGAATCTCTTCAGCCTCTGCAAGAGAAGGCTGAGAGGTGATCTTGTGGCTGCTTCATCATGGGGGGTCAGCAGGGAATATGGGACACTGTTTACCAGGGCGTCCCTCGGCGTTACCAGAAATAATGGCCACAAACTGAAGGAGAACAGATTTAGATTGGACATAAGGAAGAAATTCTTTATGGTAAGGGTTGCCAAAATATGGAATGGGCTTCCAAGGGAGGTGGTGCTCTCCCCTACCCTGGATGTATTCAAGAGGAGATTAGGCAGGCACCTAGCTGTGGTTACTTAACCCCAGCACTCTTTCCTGCCTGGAGCAGGGGGTTGGACCCGATGATCTGCCAGATCCCTTCCGACTCTAGAAATCTATGAAATCTAAGCGGTTAACTTCCCTTGAATTTAACTTCACAACAGCATAGTGAAGAGAAGCATCAAGATCTAATTGTACAGAAAGGAAACTAATGGCCCAAGCATTGGAGGGAGAAGATTTTAAAAAGCCCAAAGGGGAAAATGCAAAAATCTAGATCTCTTAGTTCAGAGATGATACCTTTTATGAGACCAACTAGGAAATTGCAAAAAAAAAAAAAAATTATCTTTTTTCTGCAAGCTTTTGGTCTCAAATGCCTGTTACCAGGCTCAGGGAAAATTAAGATGGTAAAAAGTCCCCATAGGTAGGAAATAAACTTCATTTTTGCACAGAGGAAGCTGGAGATGGAAATCTGTCCATCTGGGTCCATGACAGTGTCTTTGTGAGTTGTTCTGAGTTGTTCTTTGTTGTGCAGATCAGGTAGGATTCTTTCCCTGGAGGTGTCAGATGGCAACCTGGGAGGTGTAGAAATATTTCTTGTTGTTCAGCAATGACGTTTAAAATCCAAAATCAGCTAAAATTTGGCATCTTCCATGTTTCAGGGATGTATTTGGTAGCCGAGTTGGTCTAAGACAAAAGGAAATGCAAAAATCTAGAACTCCTAGTTCAGAGATGACACCATAATCTAACTCACAGGAAGCTTGTGGCACTTAGGAACAAAGCTCTTATCTTCTGACTTCAGTACCATATTCTAGTCATTACATGACACTGCTTCCCCGTTTAATTGGTGAGTTAATTATTGGGTTGCAGAGACCAGGTGAACACATGCGGGAGTCCTCAATAACTTACGCCTAATCATGCGCAATAGAACTAATGGAGTGAAGAAAGGCTAGTACAACAGTAACAGCATCGCTGACATCTAAGTATTAAATGCCATGTAGTTCCTGTATTACTGGCCCTGGTACAGCATTTGTATATAAAATTATATCCGGATGAATAATTTTGCAGATTCACCAAGCTGTTCATTTCAGGACACCCACTCTTCGCCAGTATGTCTTAATGTTCTCCCTACTCCCTATGCAGGGAGCATGTCCTTCAAGCAAGGGACAGAAGTAATTTTGCATTGGTGTCAGAAAAATAGAGCAATGTTTATGTGCTTGCCTCTGCTATGAATTATTCTAAAAGTCCGCCAGCCATCTTCCCACAATACTTTGCTCCCTGCCCCTACTGGCAGGTCTGTTTACCTGTGTGGCCACCTCTCCTCCAGGGTCATGGAAAGCAGATGGCACCTCTTTGTTTAAATCCTGGCATGCAGCCAGACTCTGCCTCTTTGCACATGCACCAAGAGTCACCATCTTAGTGGCACTCCTGCAGGTTTCAAATATTAATCCTGTGCCATTCTTTCTTGTCACACTTGCCACTGGACCCATGCAGAATCCTGAACCTTCTCTGATGACAGGGAGAGGCAAAGGTGCAATTTGCTGTCCAGAAGAGGCAGAACAATCAGGAGGTTTATAAAGCCATCCCTACAGCCCTGGCTGCATAGGGCTAGCAGTGGGATGTAGCAAGATAAAGGATCAAGGACTGAAACAACACCCCCAGAAGTGCTCCATCTACCTGTCCTAACTAAGGAGATTTGGACAGGATTTTGACATGAGAAAGAAGAAAAAAAACTTTGTTTCATATCAGATATGGCTTATGAAGCACAGGACCCCAAGGGCCAGTAGGACTGAGGATGCCTTCTGAGAAGATTCACCTGACAGCCAGGAACTATTTACCTTGCAGGAGTCTGACAGAGAGCTGACACTAATTGACCCCAGACCTAGATCCTAACCCTCATTGTCAACCAGCCTGCTGCCCCTGCGAGTACCAGTGGAGAGAAGGGCAATAGGAAGCATGCCCTCCTTCATGCTAAAAATTGCCAAGATATAAAATTGGCAGTTGTTTTCATTCCAGTGCCACCTCTGTGGGTTGATGTGAATCATTTTGTTGACTGCTGCGCCTTCTGTGTTACAGCTTCCCTCCATGGTACCCAAAATAGTCTGCAAAAATGCCCCTTCTCCTCATACTCTCTCTCATTCTCCTAATCATAACAAACCCCTCTCTCTGCCACATGTCCAACACTGCAATCTTGCTGCAGTTGGCCACTTAGCTGGCTGTCCTTCCCACCTGAGTGGTATGCCTCATTCTCCTCCCCACCTGCCATATCATATGCACAACTCATAACTGCACCAGGCTCAAAAAATTGCTTAGATCATGCTTGTTTATTGAGAACTAAGCCTTGCATGGCAATATTACTATTTCATATGAGTAGCTGGCCCACAGAGACAAATTCACCTGAAATCCCTTCTGTGGTAGATGTCATCCATTCAGCTTTTCCCAAATGCGACATCATCCATTATTTTAATTACAAATCCTTTCTAACTTATTCAAATAAAATTAGGAAAGTAGCTACTGAACATGCTATGCAAAATGCTAGACAGTAGTCTAATCTAAAACATGTCTCATTGATTCTTTTAAATCAAACAATCTGGTTAGTGGTCTCCATAAAATCATAGATTGACTCACAATATTTTTACTTATTGAAGAGTTAAGAAGGAAAGCCCTTATCTGGCAAAGCCATTAAGTACTTAAGATTTCAATATGACTAGTCACAAGCTTCTATTCTATTCTTCCCTGATTCTTATATTCACCATCATGTCAGAGTAGCTATGTAATAACAAGAATGTGCTTAAGTGGTAGAGGGACTGGGCAGAGGGCACATTTACGCCATTATAGCTTACTTCAATTTTGCATGCAAATGGAAACTACTTTGTCTGGAGTAAACAGATGGAGAGTTCTCCTGGGGTAGCTTCATGTAATAGGGGGCTATTATGACACTCATCAGTAGGTGGCAGGGACCAGATAACAGCCTGTTTGCCTTTGACAATCAGTTACATTTGGATAGATGTAGACAGATGAAACCAACACCGCTAACATTGCACTGGACTGGGAAAAGTTACCTTGTATGAGAGTTTACATAATTTATTCATTCCTCTTTTTCACTGGTGTAGACTGATAGCACTGTTGTAAATGTGTCATCTGTCCAGGCCTTTAGTGTGACAATCTCCTACTCAAATAGCTATTCCTCTTTGAGAAGAGAAATACCCAGTACTGGTATAAGCACTTTGAAACAGAGATAAGCACATCAGGACTGGGGATAAATATTTCAGGAAACAATTGCAATTCTTACTTAAATAATTAATAATTACACTGATACTAAGTATATGTATGGAAGAGGATTAATATGAAACTTTTCTTCCTGTTCTGAATACCACTGGTAATCGATCTTTTATCCTACATCTTAAAAAAATGTAGAAAATACCCTAAAAATTAGAGTTTAATATTTAGAGTAAAGATCATTCAAAGTTCACAATACTTTTTGTAAGGTTGATGTAGCTAAAAACTACAGAATAAGACCATTAGGCATGCCATAGAGAGACATTTACTACTGGGAACTGTCTTTATTGGTCTTCATCTGGAACAATCACAGACAAAATAGGATCTTCATCCACTTTCCCTTCGCTTGTCTTCAAGGCCATATGGAGTTTAAGCCAAAAGAGTGGAATCTTTTCCTTCTCCTGGGGCCATGCAAGGTATGTTTTTTTCTTTACCAGCTTTCTCATCCTATGGTAGGGTGATAGATAACCAGCAGGAATGTCTTCCAGGAAAATCAGGACCAGGACATCCTCATGTTCATCAAAGAGGCGAAAGCTGGCTACCTGAATCTCCTTAGAGCACCATTCACTTTCAAGATAGTGGCGGGTTATGACACAGATAGTTTTCCTGCTCCCATAGATATTATCCACAATGTTGTCCAGGATAGCTCTTCCTGGTTCAAAGTCCCGGTGGTGCAGACACAGCTTCCAGTGGTACTCATCTTCCAGCTTGGGAAGGAGGTCATTGATCACCCATTTTTCGTCCTCTGTGTTGTAGGAGACAAACGCATCATAGTCGTATTTCTTATGCTGCCTTTTTCTTTTGTGCCTGTTGTCATAAATATAAGCAAGTAATAGATGGTAGGCATAAATCCCCTGCCACCTCCAGTGATAAAAGAGGCAGACAATCATCAGCAAAATAACTAGGGTTGAATTAGTTATAAACAAGATGAAGTCGAGATTAGCAGTGCAGGAGGAGAAATCAAAGGTCCACAGCTTGTCTCCTTTACTGCTGGGTGGGAAAGCACAAGTGTACTCATACAAATAGATCACCTGGGTTTTTAAGTTATTAAGGGACCAATTGAGGAATGCTTTGTTGTTGCAAGAGCAGGTAAAAGGATTGTGTCTGAGATCCAGGAAAGTAAGAAATGGCAAAGCTGCAATGTGGTTCGGTTTAATAACATCAAGCTCATTTGTAGCTACTCTGAGCACTGCCAGCTTAGAGAAGTTGACATGAAGAAGAAAACTGAGTGACTGAAGCCCTACTTTATTGAGGTGTAATTCTGTCAGGTTTGCTACAGGCTGGAAAAGGTCCAGGTTAATAGGACTGATCAGATTGTTGCTCAAATCCAGTTCTTGGAGCCCAGGGGTGTAACTAAAAGTGTCTGGGTGCAAGGAGCTGATGTCCAAGTTGCCAGCATGGATTGACACTAATGATTCCAGACCTTGCAAGAAGTTAGATGGGAAATTCTGAAGCCCTAGATGACGTTGGCTGTTCAGAGTAAGTTTCTTTAAAGACTTCAAGAGAATGAAGGGAGGGTTGTCAAGTTTTCCAGCTGACTCATAAGAGATGTAATTGTTAAAAAGCTGAAGCTCTACTATTGAGCTTGCCCCTTCGAAAATGCCCTTCTGCAAAGTGTTCCTGGTGATCCTGTTGCTGCCAAGAAGCAATGTTAGCAGGCTGCTCAGCCCTTCAAAGGCTCCTGGTTCTATTGTGCTAATCTGGTTGTCCACCAGGTTGAGAAATTGCAGGGAAGTCAGATTCCTAAAAGTGCCTTTCTTGATGGAGTTCATCTTATTTCTTTTGAGGTTTATTTTTTCCAGCTTCCATAAACTATCTGAGAAAGGCTGTGAGATTTCCAAAAGGATGTTCATTCCCAAATTTAACTCCAACAAATTATCCAAATCCTGAAATAACTCTGAATTGATTTTAGTGATCTGGTTTCCAGTTAGATTGAGAAACTGCAGATTCTTCAGACCAGCAAAGTCACTTGGGGTAATTTTCTGAATCTGGTTAAAGCTGAGATCCAAGCTTTTTAGTGATGTTATATTTGAAGTCACAATAGGTACTTCACTGAACTTATTGTTTGCCAGGAACAAAAATTCTAAAGCATTCAGGAACTGAAAAGATGTAGACAGTATCACTTGTAACTTGTTGTGTGTCATATCCAAGTACTTCAGCTGAGTGCAGTTTTCAAAGACAGTTGCTCTAATGCTTTTGAATCTATTGCCTTGTAAATTCAGAGCCTTGACATGTTGCTGCCAAAGGCAGACCTCCTCTATGAGATTGTCAGAATCAGTCAAGTTCAAATCATTTAGGTGGATATCCTCAAGCAAAGAGCAGCTCAGTTTTTGGAGAACAGTTGATATGTCTCCTGGTGTCATAAATATTCCTCCTAAATATAATTTCTTTAACCCTTTCAGGAGACATGGATCTTGTATAAGCCATATAACGTGGTTATGTTTGCCAGAGAAGGATAAGTTCAACGAAACAAGACTGTGCAAAGCATCGGTTGTAACATCAATGAAAGAGATCGGATTGTGGGATACATCCAGTTCATGAAGCCTCATGGGCACATAAAGAATATCTTTGGTTGTAAAATTTGTTATGTTGTTCTCACTAATTTGCAGCATTTCCAAAGACTTCACCTTAAACACAGCATCCAAAGCTTTCACAAAATGTAACTTATTTGAAGTTAAATCAATTACCTTTAACTTTATCAGATGGTCAAAAGTCGACAGCTCAATCCTGTCAATGTTGTTCTTCCTGAGTAGCAAGACAGTAAGATTCACCAATCCATCAAACGTAGAGCTGGAAAGAATTCTCAGCTGGTTTGAAGTGAGGTTCAGGAATTCCAGGCTGCCTGTGTGAATGAATGTGCCTTCTTCAATGACATTTATTTGGTTCTGAGAAACGTTTAACATTTGCAACAGGCTCATGTTCTTGAAATCATTCTGCCTTAGGCGTGCAATCCAATTCTCAGACAGGTCTAAGCTTTTTATGTTGCTAGGAAGATGAGCTGGAACTTGAGACAAGTTTCTCTTATAGCATAGCATTTTCATCCTTCCCCCCAAGTTTCCATGGACTAAGCAGTTCTCATATGAGTACGGAGCTACTTGAAGATCTTGGCTGAAGAAAAGCAAGACAGATAGAAGTCCCAGCAAAAACATCTCTCAAATTCCTGTGTGCTCCCTGTGTTCAAAAAAAGGATATGTTGCCGCAGTAAAAAGACAGAAAAGGAACTAGTGACCTTGTGTAATCAGGATGTGTGTCCAAAAGAAGAAAAAATGCTGGCATTGCCAGTTGTTACGGCTTAAACATCGAGACTTTTGCTTTTATAAGAGGAGTTAGTTAACTTAAGCCTGAAACATTAAAACATTTGATTGTTTGGTGAAGATTGTTCAAATGTTCAAAGTGAAGTGCAGTGGGCATGTGAGCACTGATTTGATTATGGTATTACGTGTGAATCTCAGCTTTCATATTTTACATGAGTTACTATTTCTCATGCTGGAACACAACTGAAAAAAACTGTATTTGTTTTTTGTTTAAAATTTGTGATTTTTAAACCTAGCTCACAGTCCTCCTGCTGTGGCCAATGGCTTGTCCTCTGCCAGAAACATATTTTTCAGCCCAGTTTGCAGGCCCCCCAAGCCCAAACTCCCAAGGTAACCACTGTCTACTTTTCCCTCCTCAGCCAGCTCCCAGCCTGCTGTCTTCAGCTAGCTCTAATGATTACAGAGCCCTTACCTGGTTAGATGTTGAACTAGGTAGAAACAGTGCCCTAGTAATGCACTGACAAGCCAGTTCTTTGCAATGCTGTCAGTAGGTAGTATGCAATGGAACACATGCTCATTGGGCATGACAGACACCCGAGGGGTAGCTGATACCACACAGTGTCTCCATTTCTATGGCAATAGATCAAAAAAAGTTTCATAGATTCATAGATTCATAGATTAAGGGTCGGAAGGGACCTAGTAGATCTTCTAGCCCGACCCCCCGCCAGGGCGGGAGAACAACAAAAAACCCCAAAAAGAGAAATGGGACTCAAACGAGTCCAGCCAGGTAGGCATCCAGCCTCTTCTTAAAGACCCCCAGGGTAGGGGCCAGCACCACTTCCCTTGGAAGTTGGTTCCAGCTCCTAGCCGCCCTAACTGTGAAGTAGTTTTTGCGGATGTCCAATCTATACCTCCTCTCCATCAGCTTGTGCCCATTACTCCTTGTTATGCCAGCGGGCGCTAGGGGAAACAGCGTCTCCCCCAAACCCTTCTGGTCCCCCCTAGTGAGTCTATAGACAGTCACCAGGTCCCCCCTTAGCCTTCTCTTGTGGAGGCTGAATAGGTTCAGGTCCCGCAGTCTCTCACTGTAGGGTCTGCCCTGTTGTCCCCGGATCATGCGGGTGGCCCTCCTCTGGACCCTCTCCATGTTGTCCACATCCCTCTTGAAATGGGGCGCACAGAACTGGACACAATACTCCAGCTGTGGCCTGACCAGCGTCGCGTAGAGGGGGAGGATCACCTCCTTGGCTCTACTCGAGATGCACCTGTGGATGCACGACAAGGTCCGGTTAGCCCTGCCAACCATGACCTCGCATTGTCGGCCCATGTTCATCTTGGAGTCAATAATGACTCCAAGATCCCTTTCTGCCTCCGTGCTCTCGAGTAAGGAGTTCCCCATTGTATAAGTGTGCTGCTGGTTCCTACTGCCCAAGTGCAGCACCCTGCACTTGTCCGTGTTAAAACGCATCCTGTTCCTGTTAGCCCACCCCTGTAACCTATCCAGATCCCTCTGCAATCTCTCACTCCCTGCTAGCGTGCTCACCTCCCCCCAGATTTTGGTGTCATCAGCGAATTTAAACAGGTTACTTTCCACCCCATCATCCAGATCGCTGATGAAGAAATTGAACAGCGCAGGCCCCAGGACCGAGCCCTGGGGGACTCCGCTACCCACCTCCCCCCAGGTCGAATATGACCCATCCACCACCACCCTCTGAGTGCGACCCCTCAGCCAATCTGCAATCCATCTGACTGATTGAAGTTGTTTCAATATACTGGGTCACATTCGCTGCAGCTGTAAATGAGTGCATCTCCATTGACTTGCAGGTAGTTCCACCTAACATATTTGCAAAAGCCAAAAATCTGCCCCACTTTCTTCCCCATTCACTTTATTGTTGTTTTCTTCATGACTCCATATACATCAGCAGGCATCTCTCATTACCAGCACAGGAGGAAGGGACAGTTAGTGGGGAAAATATGCTGCTTTGTAGAGATGAGTCAATTCCTTATTTTATTGCACCATCCTGGTTGCCCTGAGCCACTGCTTACCCAGCATATTTTTATCTCCAAACAGGAAACGGTTCTTGAATGGTGAAGTCTGAAATGCATTTTCCATATTTGCTGCAGTTTAACATAGACAAAGAAGTCTGGGCCTTTTGTTTCAAAAGTCCGTGTGTTACTATAGAGGAAAACAAAAGCAGCAAAGATGTAAGCAGTTTGTATTCTACAGGCAATGGTTCCCTGCAAGCCACAGACTTAGAACCAGCTGCTTGTTTCTTCTACGGCCAACGAGAGGATATTATACCATAATGGGCTGCTCTGAAGATCCCTGCTGGTAGGTTAGCAAAAACCACACATGCCCACACACCCCATTGTCGTGAAGATATGTGGCCTAGTCTGAGCTGGGCACTTGCCTGTCCCCTTTGAAAACATGTGGCTGGATAGAATCCTACAGCACATCCTCAGTCAGAGCAATCAATGCCTCTCAGCACCAGGACTGAGTCCCTGTTCTTTTCCATTGAACTGAGTGTTTCATGCTGTATGAGAGCCAGTGCTTACCGAAATCAAAAGAACAGAGGCTGAAAGATGCTTTTTGATTAAGGTTGATTTTTTCTTCCTCAAAAGTTGTAGCAAGCCTCAGTTCATTAGTGATTATAAAGGCCTGTGGGTGGAAAGAGCTAGATAAGGGGAAAGGGTTATTATTGTGCGTGATGGCTGCCACACAGTCAGGTAAATATCACCATCAAATCAATCTCACTCTTGATGTGCAGAGCCCTATCTCCTTGTGAACGGCAGTCACAATGCACAAAGCCCTCTTCATAGTTCTAGCATCTAAGTGAGTGGATTAAAGGGATGTGAGCTGCCTTGCTTTGATGTTTTTCAAACCAAGATTTTTTAAGAGTTCCTTTATAGTTGTATTTCCAATGAGTTTTTGTGCTAAACAGTCCCTTTCTGCAGATTTTGCTAGCAAGGTTGACAGCTGCAATGACAATTTTGTGATGTGGACACTTCTCCACTAGTTACTGAACTGAGGCCAACAGTTTCCACTGTGATCAAGGGCAACTGAGAAAATGCTGGATACCTTTTCTATGTTGTTTTTGTACCTGACCTGCAGAGCAGAGAGCTCTTTTTTGTTTTTAGTTTCTTTCTGTAATTATCCTATTTCCTTTGTTGCTATGTGTAGCCACCATGCTGATCGACTCATGATAGATAAAAATGCCAGCATTGGGACATTATGGCTATAATTGTCCAGTTCCTGATCCAAAGCCCACTAAGGAGTTTGGAATAGATTAAATCAATATGTAATCTTGAGATGTGACAACTCCTGTACCAGTCCTCCCAAACCAACTGTCTGCTCTGCCCTCTTGAGATCTCTGTGCATTTTAGTTCCTTCTAAATTCAGAAGATCTCTAGAATTCCTAGCAAATTAAATGAATTCAATTGCTGAGTAGTCTTCCTCCACAGCAAACCACCTGTATCTTGTATGCCAATGGAAGGAACAAAAGCACACAGAATTGCTCAGTATCTTCTACACTGAAACAAATGATCAACATTACTCTAAAGGGATTCTCACTGGCACCGGATGGTTGCCTGCCATGGAGGAAGAAAGGAAAAGCTCAAGAGTCAAGAAAGAAGTAAACACTTGGCATTCATTGGTCTAGAGGGATACACCTGGAAGCAGCTCCTGACATTGCTCTTGACTTGTCAGGTGTCCATCTTCCTTTTGCCTGATGTTGAACTGACTAAAATGTTGGACTGTGCATTTCCAGGAGAGTACATAATGCATGCAGAGCAAGAGTTCCAGAGGGAAGAGAACTGAATGCAATGCAGGGACACCAAAACTGAAAAGTCTAATTTCCACAGGGTCACTTCCTCAGCTTGGGACAAATACAAACCGAGCATCTCTCTCAAACGGCTGAGTTGAGGTGCATCTTACATGTAACGTGGATTCAGAATGTCTCTGAATAGCATTACTGGTGCTTCTCCAAAGTGATTTCAGATGGAAGGTTGTGCCCTTTGATTTGTAAAAGGTGGTTTTCCCAAAAGTCAGACAAGATACTTCACTAGTGCCAAACAATTTCAGGGAGTTAAATCTACTTTTTAATTGATTTGTTCAGTGCTTTGAGTATATTACTTTGTGTAAGTGCCGTTAATTACAATTTAAAAATATAGTTAATACTGAAAGCGTTGTTCTCAGAATGACATTTTCTCTATGTCCCTCTTGTGCCCCTCCCAAATAGCATTAAGAAAGATAGGGCTGGATCATGACTCAGGGTAAATCAGCCTCATTCCACTGCAACTAATGGTGTTACATCTATTTATATAATCTGATAATCTGGTATATAGTATGAAGCCACTGGCAAGGGCTATGGCTCCTCTCTGTGTAGTCAGTGTGAGTTTCACCTGAATGGGACCAGTATAGAACTGGATATCTGTGTTTTTATATTTTGAATTCAAATTTTCCTCTACTAGTGCATCTGAAAGAAAATGATATGCTTAGATTTTCATGGGTGTGTTTCACTCATGGCTATAAACAGATAAAGGCATTGCCCTATCACAGACTCCTGCTCCTTTCCTGGTGTAAGCTGATAAAGCAATCACATAGTACCCAGATACTAAGACAAATACCTGGAGGTGCAGGATTGGTGACATACTACTAATAAAAACATCCTAGCCAAAGAATGTGCACACAAGCCCTTAATTTATTCTGTGCTTAAGAACAGTTTTGCAAGCAGCTGCTACTTCTCCAGTACATAATGAAATTCATGTTAATGGTGACTAGATTGTAAGATATCTGCCTTCGTGAGATGGTCTCTGTGCTTGAAAAGGGAATAGGAAATAGCATAGAGAGCAACTCCCTTCTGTTATGGATAGAGCATATTTCAAGGAAAGTAATCAACTAATACTTTAAACAATAGCA